ACTCTTATTAGTGGGCGGAGCACGCACTGAAGTGGGCGGAGTTTGCCAAAAACGTCGCAATTCGGTTCCAAGATGTCCCAGAGATCGGGGAAAATGGGGTTAGAGGTTGGCGAGGGGAAGGAGGTCAACTAACTGCAATCAGGGGTGTCGCAGAGACTGTCGTATAGCCTGTTGCGGATGAGCTAGCGCTTAAGACTATTAGGGGAATTCCCCCATCCTGACTTCTTCTCGTAGGTCACACCTATGCAGAATCGATCGGATCGTCCTACTCAGCTCTTCTGAAATGGGCAAGCAGAACGGTACTTATTGATCGACTCGCCTTCTGGATTTGCTCTAGGTGTGAGATGCCCCTTACGCTGCGACCCCGCACATGGGTACCCGTTTGACCGCGCGATGTTTTGGGCCATATTGAGCGATTCTCTCTTCAGCTCAACATCTGACGAGACTTTGCTGGCAACATTGAACATATTGCCAATTACCGCATGTTTCACTCTTACTGGGTGGGCTGAACGGTAGTGGATTAGGATATTCATTATTAGGCTTTCGATACCACTTCGTTCTCATGGTTCCTCTGGACAATTGAACTTGGATGTTCGAAAATGGCAACCAGCCCTCTGTTGGCTTTTCTCTTGTAAACCTGATGCGATCTGCCTGCCCATTAAAAAGGTCGAAACGGTTGTCCATTTCGTTTTGAGTGGATGTTGAAATTTGCTACATCACTGCCCTGCAGTTGGATATATCCCCTAGACCCCCTTTTGTTTCTGGAATTTTGAGCGAGTTGAGAGTGTGTCACGATATTAGGGCCTAACGTCACCTCTGAGATTACCAAGAAGCTCGGGATGGCGGGGTAGGGAGAGTGGAAATAAGTGGGGGTTAATACTCACAGAGGTGTAGAGAGGGGCAAAGACGGAGGCTTGGAGACCGAAATCTCCTCAACGCGTGGCTGATCCTTCTGCATTTGACTCTCACATTTACTGTCAGAAGAAAAAGGCAGGCAAAGGAAAATAAAGGAAAAGGCATAGGATCACATTGGTGTGGCTCTTGCACACGAATGCAAATGTATTGATGCGAAAAGGGCCAAATATATAGAAAAGTGAAAGAATGAGACGGGAGAGCGCTACAGGTGAGAGGGTGCTTGACCATAAGAGAGGAAAAATCTGCAGCTTCAGCAGCTTACTTTGCAAGGCCCAAGCGCTCTTGTCGGTTGGTTTCCGTGCACGGAACGCCACATTTGTGATTGTCCTCTAGGCTTCTATACTACAGACCAAAGGGAAACGTTCACACAACCTTTGATTAGATTGTGCCTTTTAAACTCACCATTAACGTGGTCCATGATTTGCTTTGTACTCACTGGCTTGTCTTTGTCGAGAACAACGAAAGCAACCGGCCTTAGAAAAACTCAGAGTTCTTAGAAGGTAATTGTAACATTGGATTGAAAGAAATGAAAGTTCAGCCAACAAAGAGCATTTTCACAAGCACAGAAACACAGCAGTGATCTTGTTTAGGTTCCTTCTTGCACAACGTACGCAAACGTCCTGAACTCCTCGCGAAAGCGAGTAGCTAGAGCCTGAAATCTTTCAGCACTTTGTGTTGCCGCGCGACCCCGCCCATTGCGAGTCCCTTTTGATGGCAACCCCCGGGCCTGAACTGGTTAGAGCGGACCCCGCCCATGGCGAGTCCCTTTTGAAGGCAACCCCCGGGCCTGAACTGGTTGGAGCGCATCGTGTGATAGTTGAGCTGCTGAGTGAACTAAAAGAGGAAAGAACACAACAAGCCATAAGAGGCCTAAACTTCGAAAAACTAAAAGAAGGTCAGATGTAGTACGACAGAGAGGAGGATCGACCAGCGAATGAAAAACACGTGAGAGAGAACGCCGTATGAGTGAACGCGCTGATCTCTACAGGGGTGGCCAAAAAAAAGAGACACTTCACTCCACATTTCAGACAGCATTAATCACACTTTGCTAGAATCAAATCGACTGACCCCAACTAGTATTAAAGAGCACATTCTAATCTATCTAAAGTTACATGACAGCCTTCTACACCGACGACATCAGAAGATTTTCCCACGGAAACATGGTTCACGGTACGAGCTCAACGAGGTCGTCGAGGTACCATAGACCATTACGACGTCCCTGAAACGCTGGTCAAAAGCGGTTTGCACAGTCACAGCTAGTGTCTCTGGGAAGCTATTCACCAGTTAACCATTGAAGAAATTATGTAGCAGCTTCAGGCCGGAGCGATTACGGTAAGCCTCGTTGAGCTCGACGGTGACGGCAGATGACGTCATATTCTGAAGACGGTGGGGCAGTGAAGGAGGGCCTGCTTCTGCTTACGGGGGAACACCTAAGGAATATTCCGCCGTAAAACTTTCATTAACATCGGCACCCTGTGCGACGAAAAGTTCGATGATGTGCGCCATGGGCAAAGTGTCTCTTTTTTTTGGCCACCCCTGTATATCAGTCGCAATGGGTGGAGGGCGCTACGATGGTTGCAAAACCTCAACCATTAACACCCTGACTATGCATTTTTGCGAAAGAACTAGCGCGATCTCTGTGATAGAATTCAACAAGTTTCTCCGCGGTGGGTGGAGAGCGCGGTTCTTACTCTTGGGTCTGATCATGGGGTTAGTCCGACTAAAAGGGAGCACACCGCAAGGGAAGTTGTGGGTCCAATCTACAGGAATCATGTTAGCTCGTTGCACGAGCGCGATTAATGCACTAATCTTTACGGTCGCGCAACCACCGAATCCCGCTGCAACACTCTACACTCACGATTGATGTGGAGATTGGCGTGCTCTCTAGCGTCTTTTGTCTTCACCGATCGCCCTGTTTCGCCGTCGTACCACATCCGACCTTTAAAAAGGTTAAGGCCTTGATTTCAGCGTTTCCATCGATTTCTCTTGCTTTCCTTTCCACTTTTATTATATTTCATTCCGCATCTTACGCATCCTTACGAAGCGCTCTTATGCACCAGTTTTATCGCTTTGGACACTGTGCTCATCTTCGTACCACCTCATTTACGTAATCTTTATTCCTTCATTCCGCTTTTAGAGTTACTCCATGCGTTTCCACGACGTTCAAAATGCTGATCAGTGAAATTTCAGGAGGCCATTGTTACTTCGAACACTTCATGATGTAGTTCTCTCAGTTCGGCGCCTTCCACAGCCGTAAAGGTAGAGAGTTAGAAGCTAGCCATATACTAGTATTAGGATGTTTCAAAAGTTCGTGCGTATTTTTTGGATCTCATGCCACAAGCTCCTTCAGCAAATTCTAATATGTTCACGTAGGCTGTGGAGAGGGCACAACGTGCAGTAACTTATACCCGAATCATGCCCACCCTAGTCGCCTTCTTCGAGTTCAAAGTGAAAAAGAAAAGAGCTATGTTTTTCACGCTCTGACTCAAGAAGCTCTACTGAGCCACAAACCGATGAAGCCGGAAGAACATCTGCTTTGCGATACATCTCCTTGTCATTGCCAGCATGAGGTATCAGAATGGATCAATTTTCTTTGCTCAGGAGTGTACAGCCATAGAAAAACTCTCGTTCAGGGAGGCCACAACTCTTGTAATCTGCTATGTGGCCGCAACCCTGGTGTTTCAGAAGCACAGTCCATAGAAATTTTCGTTTCTTCGTAAAAGTGGTGGGGCTTTGCCAAGGATTCCCGCATCAATTGACACCTGATGGCAGGAGTGCGACACGAGTGTGTATTATTAGTGCCCTACTCCACCCGTACACCTTGGCTGAACAAAGCCACTACTGCTTGTG